CTTTCCCCTTCCTACCTTAGAACTGTTTTTACTTTCATTTTGTTAAACTGAGAACAGTGAGACTGGGATTCTTTCGCAAAACTTATAATTTTTTTCAAGTAATACAGCATCAAGGGGAATTTAGTGTATTCATTACTAGAAAAGAAGGTATATTGCATTTCTCAGCGGTAACATTCTTTTTCTTAGAGACATTTGTATACATTTTTCATTATTTTCTTGACTTCGGGGTGTGCCTGTGTGTGTGTGTGTGTGTGCGCGCGTGTGTGTGTAGATAATAAAATCAGGCACTTGCATATGTTATATTTTAGCATCATCTGTGACTTTTAGTTTATTCTTATCTTACATTTTAGAATGAAAAAAAACAGGATGCTTATATTTTATATTGAGCGGAAGGCAGTCTTAGTCTTTATAATTGTTACGAATACTATCACATAGTTTTAATAGAATTGTAGACATATTTTCATTTTTGTCAGTATTTCTTTGTGATAAATTTATATCCATGAGTGTGTTTACTTGTATTCAGCAGGTAATCAATCTTCATTGTCATATAAGCTGACCATCTGTTGGAGTTTGATTTTCTGCTGCGAACAACTAAATTGCATACTGGGTAATTTATAAAGAATGGAGGTTTATTTAGCTCACAGTTTTGGAGCTCCAAGGTCAAGGACTTCTCTCTGGTGGAGGTATTCTGGTTGATGAGGACTGTGCAGAGTCCCAGATGTGCAGGCCAGAGTCGAGAACTTTTGTGTGTCTACCCCAGCTGTTACTCCTTTTCCTGTAAACCCGATAGGAGTCAGTCATGGGGGTCCTACCCTAATGACTTTATATAATTCTTCTCATCTCCCAAGGACCCCATGTCTCCTAATAACATAACTGGATTAAGTTTCTAGATGCTGAATACTGTTAAAATGACTTACCAAATTTTAATACCTGAATTGTATGTGCGTGTGTGTGTGTGTGTGTGTGGGGGTGGCACATTCAGACCATAACATCATGAAAATATGCTGAATTTTGAATGTATTTTTCAGTTATTAATATCAATAGTATGTTTAACTTTTGAATTCAAAAATTGTTCCTAGGATCAGCAGTATTACGTTCCCCTGTGCTTGATAGTGTTCCAGCTAGAATGATCTAGAAATTTACACGACTTTTAAAATAGAAGGAGAGGTATGATACTATAGAATTGACTAAAATCTGGGATAATGTAGCGCCGTGAGTAATGTAGTGCTCAGGCAAGGAAGAACAAACTAAACGAATGGAAATTATGTGGGAATAACAAGCGCTGTGCTAGAGTAGAAGGGTGCAGTAGTTTTAAGTAGACCAGACACTGAACATGAGTCAGCGATGGTAAAGCAGAAATGTTCAAGTATTTTCTAAATGGAAGTATAGGCCTTTGCCTTTTGTTGGGGGAAATGTGAAATGAGTTCCGACCTTTGGCACACAGCTAAATGGTTATAGAAAGAGCTTTTAAAATTTGTGTGTCTACCCCAGCTGTTACTCCTTTTCCTGTAAACCCGATAGGAGTCAGTCATGGGGGTCCTACCCTAATGACTTTATATAATTCTTCTCATCTCCCAAGGACCCCATGTCTCCTAATAACATAACTGGATTAAGTTTCTAGATGCTGAATACTGTTAAAATGACTTACCAAATTTTAATACCTGAATTGTATGTGCGTGTGTGTGTGTGTGTGTGTGGGGGTGGCACATTCAGACCATAACATCATGAAAATATGCTGAATTTTGAATGTATTTTTCAGTTATTAATATCAATAGTATGTTTAACTTTTGAATTCAAAAATTGTTCCTAGGATCAGCAGTATTACGTTCCCCTGTGCTTGATAGTGTTCCAGCTAGAATGATCTAGAAATTTACACGACTTTTAAAATAGAAGGAGAGGTATGATACTATAGAATTGACTAAAATCTGGGATAATGTAGCGCCGTGAGTAATGTAGTGCTCAGGCAAGGAAGAACAAACTAAACGAATGGAAATTATGTGGGAATAACAAGCACTGTGCTAGAGTAGAAGGGTGCAGTAGTTTTAAGTAGACCAGACACTGAACATGAGTCAGCGATGGTAAAGCAGAAATGTTCAAGTATTTTCTAAATGGAAGTATAGGCCTTTGCCTTTTGTTGGGGGAAATGTGAAATGAGTTCCGACCTTTGGCACACAGCTAAATGGTTATAGAAAGAGCTTTTAAAATAAGTAAAATTTATATAATGTACTTGTTTGATGTAAATTTTTGCCCTAGATTTAGTTCTACCACAAACTTCTCTTTATCGCTCAGGCCCTGTAATGGACTTACTGTTTTGCTATTTCACCAGTGGGAGTAATGTTACTATTATATTTACCATCGTTCAGTCACATGCAGGAGTACCTTATCATTTTTGATCTCTGCACATTGAATAACTGAGAGTTCACAGAGGGGTGTGTACGGTTGTATGTTTATAATAGTTTACAGCTCACACGTATCCACATGGTCCACTCTAAGCTTTGCAAGAGCCTTGTGTCAGGTTATGGACATCATCTGCTATAGGACTTGGGATGTCGTCCATACATACATCTATTTCTTTCTGTTATGGATGTAAGGTCTGTAAGAGCAGGAGTTGTATAGTATTTACCATGCTATCTCTAGTTAGAATTACTGAGTACCTGTTTACAAAGAGAACAAAGACATTCAGATTGTTTAAGTGACTTGTTCAAGGTCATGACACTTGTAATTGGTGAGACCAAATCATAATGCAGGTCTTTTGCAGATCTTTACGTTTGTGGGATAAAAATTTAGCTTCCTGTGATTATTATTTAATTTAATTTTATTTTGTGTTGATCATTATTTAGTTACTTACTGTTAATTATTTTAATGAAAAATACTTATGACTTAAATGTTCAAATACTGTTATTATTACCCTCTTTTTAAAAATAATTAATTAATTAATTAATTTTCATTTGACCAGAGAGGGACAAAATGAGAGAGAGAGAGACAGAGAGAGAGAGAGGAAAAGTAAGAAAGCAAGCTGCCAAGTCCAGGACTTGAACCACAGTCGGCCATGTGAGAGTTCAGCACCCTTAACCACCACGCCACCTGCTGGCCCTGTTTTACCCTCTTTTTAACACGAGCTATCTTCTCTCTTCTATCCAGCTCTCTGTCTTTAAACCCAGCCATTTTCATCTACCTTGCCTTTCAGTTAAGTTTCTTTGTACATGTTCCATCCTCCTGCCTGGACTGCTCCCCCTACTGTTTCCAAAACCTGACCAGTGCCTATTTAATTTTCAGGCCTCAGTTTAAGTGTCAGTCAGCATCAAGGGGGCCTTCCCTGACTTTCTTTGATTCTTCCTTCTCAAAACCAGAGTAGGTCCCTTCTGTATACCTCCTATTCTCTGTTATCCTTTTGGGCATCGTCACAATCAGAGCTTATTTGATAAATGTCTGTCCTTACT